ATGAATTTTGGTCCCAATTGAAGTCGGTTAAGGCGTGTCGCACAGGGGTCAAACTTCAGATTACCCCTTGGAAGACGTCTTAACCGTCTCCAATCGGGACCCAAATAGATATGCGATAGCTGTGATCATGGTATTACCGATTGTGGGCGTGAGACTGGTAAAATTTGTTCATTTAATTTTTTAAGGACCACCCTCATGTACACATGAGATAAAATTTAAAATATGTAGTTATTTGTAGCACGTAATTGGATTTTAATGAGATTTAAAGCGCACACCTACACACATACGTGCGTACATACATGTGGAAGTCATTAAATTTTACTATCCTTTAGCCTGAAAACTTTATTAAGATTAATTTTGAAATGAGTTAAGCTGAAAGGTTGCATAATTTATAGCATATTGCGCATTTTTACTTTGAGTGTATAATTAGGATGTAAAATAATTCCGGAGAAAACAGTGTGGTATTCATCATAAGTCTACAATGCGCAAATGATTAAACACCTTTATTTTTTTAAATTATGTTGTCTTTATTATTATGGCATTTGGGCGTTAGAGGCCAAAAACGAATAGACCAAATTTTGGTAGCTTCAACTGGCGTTAGGCGCATTCCGGACAAGGCATTTTGCCTTGATCAAAACACATGGTAGAAAATGAACTTTTTTGTGATAAAATCCAATGTTTCGAGAAATGACAAAAACTGGCGAAATTTAACATTTATCCTTTAAAAGTATTTTTAAACTTTTGAGAGAGACACTTTAGGAAGAAAATTATCGTTGAATACGAAAATTCCTTTGTTTTCCCCTTTTTGACTCGAAATCAGTATGATGAAATTAAAAAAAAAAATTAAACATAAATTTTGACTGATATTGCGCCAAGGAATCCATTTTCATAGGCGGAAGAAGCGAGAAACTCATTTTAATTTTTTTTTTAGTTATTACCTGCTGTTTTCATGTAAAAAAAAAAAATCAAAAACTCTACTTTTGAATGTCGTCTTAAAGGTAAAATTATTCGTATATTCAAAGAGCCCTTCAAAAATAGCATGTAATGCACATACAAAAATTTTTTTTTTTTGCTCTTGTGACCATGGAAATGGAAGTTTTTTTTTAATTTCTTATATTTTTTGTATTATGGCGCGGGCCCCTAAGCTAGCGCCTATGCAGCCTATGCTTGAATCCGGTCCTGAACTACCATCGCTCCGGCACTCTTGAAGTCCAGAAACCAGAAAACTTCACTAGGTTAGGTTAGGTAAGTTGAGGTACAATGATTAGATTAAATTAGGCTAAATTTTGGTTTGGTTCTGATTTGATTTGGATTTGGCTTTCGTATAGTTTGGCTTGATTTTGGTTGGATTTGATTTTGGTTTTGGTTTGGCCTGGTTTAGTTTTGAGTGAAAGTTTGGATTTAGTTTTTATTTGGTTTCGTTTTCGTTTCGTTTCTTTTGGACTGGTTTAGTTTGGTTTGCATTAAAGTTGTTTGGTTAGAATTAGGGACCGTAACAGTTACAACTTTTATTAAAAAAAATCGTTCTTTAACAATTATTTTTTGACTTTTATTTAATTACCTCTTTTTTTTTATAAATCCAAAATAACAATTAGTATTGATTTTTATCTAATAATCTGCAAATAACAATTATTTTTGATTTTTAAATTATATGCCTTAGATAACAGTTATCGAAGACTTTTATTTATAAAAGTCATAAATAAAAATCAGTCACTGATCTTAATTTTTTAAATCATACTTATAAAAGTCA